GTGATTCGTTGTAGCTTTCTTTGTAAAACAAGTGTTTTTTGATTCCAAGGTTAACCGAACGAAAGGCAAATGATCTTTAACTAACAAATGTTCGGCATTGTCAGTGAATTCACAACGATCATGATGAAGAAATATAATAATGATTGTGCGCCCTTGTAGAATTCATAAGTTCATAGAGCCTCTCAAGTTTAGAATGCCAGTGATTGATAGTCTTGCCTACTTACCTCGTGCGGGAAATTAGCTAAGATGCTGAAGATGATCATACCTGCTTAAATGATGCTCTAGGTGTCGCACTTCCGTATAACTTGGTGTAGTGAAAAACAGCATGAAGCACGGTTTATTCCTACGGTAAAGTATGGTAAACTAAATGACTGTCCGGTTGACGATCATCGATTGACCATATTTTTTGCACTCTTTATAAATAAACCGTTTTCCTCGATTTTTCGGTATAACCTCCAGCGCACGTACGAAATGCTCAATCTTGAACGTGACCGGATGTAATGACGCGTACAGTCATGCTGAAAACGGTACTTTCGTAAACAAACAATTATAATTATTTTCTAACACCTTTGAGTAAGCACACAAATATACCTTTAATTATACTGTGGTGCAGGGAGGATGTACTTTGTCGGAGCGGCAGTTATGAGTACCTTCATAAATGCGCCTTTGCGATCCAACCAAATGTTGCGATTGGGCATCCACTGATGCAGTGCGGTTAGTGAAATGCCGTGTAACTGTGTCCTGCTCAAGTGGTCTCCTAGTCATTCAGAAACAACGAGCAGTGCGACATAGCCCTATGATCAGATGTGATGACTCGGAAGAAAGTATTGGTGTTATTCGGTTCTAGTTGGTTCTTAATTATAAATTACATAGATTTGTAATACCTCTTTTGCGTAAAGTAGCATTACTGTGTTGCCACGAGCATGTATTTGAATCGGCTTCCTACCGTGAGGTGGGGTGCGTACGTTGCTCCTTTTTTGTGCGTCCCACCTCAGGAAGGAGGTATTACATCCATACATGCCATGTTTGCCAGAAAGCTGTAGTGCTCTGGTTTTGAAATAAGGCACTCCTGATTGATGGCATAGAAACGGTATCAATGCAGCAGCAGATAAACTTTACTGAAAGGAAGAGCGCCACAAGTGGCCCATAATGAGGAAACTGCAAGAGTGACTGACATTCCAACTGTTAGAAACTCAAACTTCAACAGCCATGTACAGCGAGTGCTACAATAAAGCTCAGTAAGGATGAGGAGGTCGATCTATCTTAACACAAAACGAAGCGTATATAGGGCCTGAATTGGAGTAACTAGTTCTGCCGACTGAAGCCGGCAGCACTTAACAGAGGGGACAACAGAAATCTTGTGACGAGATTAAGATGGACATCAGGAGTGTGAAATGTTACGAACGTCAAATGCGGTCGTAAAAAAGACTGGGATATCGAAACAACAAAAGATGTGTCAGACACTGTGTTTAAGGTGTGGGACCATTGCCAGCAAATGAACGATAGCTATGTTAAGAAGCGAATATTGAATGCAAAGCCTGGCTGTAGGCGGCCGCCCGGAGTACTCCCACCAGATGGCAAGGTCTAAAAATTCACATTGGGTCGAAAGGGTTGAAGAATGTATCAGCATGAATATAGTGCATGTAGAATACCTGTACGGCATCCAGCGACGTCTTCGATGCAATGCGACGAAATAAGAAGATGCATAAATCATATTTAAGCCCAGTACACTCTTATCACAGTGCATATCTGTGATGCATTTAATGTGCAGTTGTGACAGGCATGCATTTATCAAAGTTTTTCAATAAAGTTAGTATAGCAAGAGTGTTGAAAAGCTGTGAATACAGCGACG